AAACGAGGGCGATGGACCCTAAACCTAGACCCTATCATCTCTCTCTCCATGTTGGATACATATATATAACTAAGAATAACACCGATGTAAAACTAAATATGAAGTGAGTGAATACATATATATATATATATATGTATGTATATATATATATGTGTATATATAAATACTATTTACATATAGAAATATGTATAGACAGAGGTAGAGAGATGTATAATATAGCATATGTGTAACGTCTCTAACTATGTGTAGCGTTAGGAATTTAGCCATGCATGTACGTGTTTGTTTATTTGGTTTATATATATATATATATATAATGTATACATACATATGCAAATGACATCCCATAGCTCTGTAAAACCTAGACACTAAACCCCACAACTCTATAACGCTAAACCCTAAACATCCCAAATATAACCCTAAACCCTATACCTGACAACTCTATAACCCTCAAACCTTATTTCCAAAACTCTATAAACCCTAGCTCTAGACCCCAAACAAAAAAAATGACTCGGCAACCCTTAGCCGGAATCTGCCTCACCCTAAACCCTAAACCCTAAACCCTTAGCCGGAATCTGCCTCATCTGCCGTCTGCTGCTGGGCTGCTCGGGCTTCAGCATTTTCGGCTTGCAGCTCCTCACCATGAGTGCTTCAGGGCTTCTTGGGGTTTTAGGGTTTAGGTTTTAGGGTTTAGGGTTTTGAAGGGCTAAGGATTTAGGGGTCCAGGGTTTCGGCCGGCTCAAACACGATATAGGACCGCGGTGGTACCGGATAGAAATTAGCAACACGCAACAGTGGAAGTAGCAATAGCAGTAGCTGTAGCATCTAGCTGTAGCAGTTTCGATAGCAGTAGCCGCAGTAGCAGCAGTGGTAAGGGTAATGGTCACGGCAACAGTTGCCCTAAACCCTAAACCCTAAACTAAACCCTAAAAAAGCTTACCGGGCCCGTCCGCCACTTTGATCCGTCAAGCTGACCCGATCCCCCAAACCCCACATAGCAACCTCAAGTTACCGGTTTAGGGTTTAGCGGTTTAGGGTTTAGGGTTTAGGAATTAGGGGTTTAGGGTTTAGGGTTTTTGGTTAACCTTAGACACTCTCCAGACAATCTGCATCAACATGACTGAGATCTTGCAAACGCAAAACCACTGTAGAAAGCCTGCTTTGAGACAAACGCCTAGCACCTCCATTTAAAGACCCCCAAATCGTAGACCTGAGCCGAAACTACCAAATAGGAATATTAGGCCCGTAAACGAAAGTGGAAAAGGACACAAGCCATAGTAAAAACTATATTGAACCGCTGGCTAGAGGGGGCCTGCAGTGATCAAAGCGTGGTTTCGGAGTTTATTACAATAATATAGACTAGAGATATAGCTATACATAGGGATTAACTCTAGGGACTATCAAGGGAACGTGTTACTAATTAAGTATACCCATCAAGCGATAATGTATCCGTTATCCCGACCCCAATTCCTAAACCCTAAACCCCAAACCCGAAAGCCTTTTCCCCCAATCCCTCAAGCCCAAATCCTAAGCCTTAGATAACAGCCACCTGCAGCTTCTTCGCGAGCTCAGCGGCTGCGGTCTCCGAGTTGCCCAGGAGCTCTTCCTGAAGTTATCGTTTTTCTTTTCGGGTTTAGCGCCTTAGGGCGGCAGGGCTTCAGGTTTTCGGCTTTGAGCCGTCGGGGTTTTCGGCTTAAGGTTGTCGGCCTTAGGGTTTGGGGCTTTTAGGGTTTAGGGTTTAGGGTTTTGGGCTTAGGGCTTAGAGCTTTTGGGCCCCTAGGGCCTTAGGATGTATTATTAGGGTTTAAGTTTCGGGGTTCCGGGACATAGTCCTTCAGTATCTCGTGTGAAAGGCCTACGCATCTTCTTGGGTGAGTGGGGGGGCGGTTAGGGTTTATCGCTTCGAGTTTAGGGATATCAACTTCACAAACGGCTTAAAGATAGTGGCTAAAGCAAGAAAGGTATAACTTACCAGTAGAAACACTATGGGTGGGGTTGATGATCAGGCGCAGCGAGACATGTACGCTGCACGGCTAGGGTTCACGTAAGCTGGATATGGGTCTGCCCCAAACCCTAAACCCCTAAACCCTAAACCGAGGGTCCAGAGGGTTTGCATTGGCGTTACCAGATGGTAACGGTCTTGCAAAGGCAGTCATAGGATTTTACAATGGTCCTTCGAGGGCGGCGGCAGTTGTTCTCTCAGCGTGTATGAGGATATTGGGAGATTTTGGCGATTGGCATTTGGAGTCCCCCTTTCCTGGAGGGAGACAAATTTGGTTATGAACATTGGAGTCCCCCTTCTGGAGGGCCGCACAATAATGATGGCACCACATGAAACTCCCCCACAGCCTGAAAGGGGTTCTGGGTTTAGTTTTGGCTTTACAGGACCCTAAACCCTAAACCCCTAAACCCTAAACCCTGAAAGGGCAAGGGTATGCAGTTCAGGCCTGGGCAAACCCTCAAGCCAAAACTCTTAAAACACCGACGCAGAAACTGATGCCTGAAGTCTAACTGCGAGATCCCATTTGAACAAAAACGCCCCCGAACGGCCTTCGCCACTTTGAGCTCTTCCACCTACAAAGCTTTCGTGTTTAGGGCTCCTGCTCTTATGTAGGGGTCCTTCGAAGAATGTCTTGAAGGGTCTTATAGGCTCTCAACAGGTGTTTAAATGTAGACGACACTGCTGCTTCCTGCCCGCAACGAACTGAACTTGAAATTGCGGGAATTGTGGTAGATCCCTTTGCCTTGGGATCTTGCAGGCACTTGTCCATCAACTGTTATGACAAGGATCCTAGCACATACCTAGAATCGCTGTTCCAGGGAACCCTAATCCCTAAATCCCAGACCCTAAACATAAAACCCGAGACCCCGAACATGAAACTTGCCTGGCGCTTCCCGCCAGGCTTGGGGCGGTTTCAACGCATCGACGGCTAAACGCCAAATGTTTACACCGAGAGAACCCTTTGACGGGTCATGTTTAAGCCGTTTAAACCTGTTTAAGCCAATGAAACTAAACATGAAGCCCTACAGCTCTGACTCAAGCTTAGAGCCCCAAGCCCCAAATCCTTATTACTTAACCCTAAAAGCCAGAAGGGATCGTAGCCCATCTCCAACCCGCAGGATCTCGACTGATCCTTTTGCCCTGAAGACGAATTTAGGGATCATGGTTTAGGGTCCCTAATGTAGGGGACTTAGGAATTAGAATAGGGTTTTGGGCTGCTTTATAGTAATATTATACTAAGGAACCCTAAGGAATAAAAAAGGTATTTAGGCTGCAAAACTAACTTCTGTTGACAATGCCCCCGCGCCTGTGCCACCAACCGGGCGGCCTCCTTTTCTTTGGCCTCCTTGAGTGACACTTCCTCGGCGCATTCGGCGCGCCACTGCTCTAAGGACCTCGGAAGGAAACCCCTAAATCGCCAAACCTTAAATCCTAAACCCTCAACCCTAAATCCTAAACCCTACGACGGTTGTTGCACGGTTCCAGGGCTTTAGGGACTTCAGTGCTTGAGGGGACTGCGGCCTTGAGGCTTCAGGGCATGAGGGACTTCAGTGCTTAGGGGCATAGGTACGTGCCAGTGTCTTAATAGTATAATTCGGGTTTAGGGTTTAGGGTTTAGGGGTTTAGGGTTTAGGGTTCAGGGCTTATAGGGTTTGGGGATTTCTTGATTGAAACCATTCCTAAGCCCGGACCCCCAAACGCAGCCACGCGGCTGGAGAAGTTGGGCTTTCTCTTTGGCAGCCTCTTCGGAGGCTCCCCGCGCTGCTTCCGTAGCTTTGGCAAACTCCGACTTCCAGTCATCAAGCTCTTGCGATAGGCTGTTGGCCTTGTCAGTCGCCTGGGATGTACTGTAGGGGCCTTAATAATTAGAATAGGGTTTTGGGCTTCCTTATAGTATATTTATAATAAGGAACTCTGACAGTCATATTGGTGCTATTTAGGCCCCTACATTGGTTTGAGGCTACCATAAACAATAGTCGGACAACTGTTTATAGACCATAAGGAAGATCAAACAATTTTCGGAAGCATCACCTAGCAGCCTCCTTCAACAACTGCTCCCGGGCAGCATCCCCATCAGACAGGTCATGCTGCAAGCGCTGGATCGTGGCATTAAGTCCTTCCACGACCGCAGCAGCCTTCGAAGCATCGGAAGAGCGCCCTTCCTGCTCTGTCGAAAGCTCAGCACGCAGCTGCTCCAGCTGGGACGTGAAATTGTCGGTGTCCTCCTTGCCTTTGGCCTCCAAGGAATCACCTCGTTCCACTGCTGCAACATGCTCTGTCTGCCACACGGATACCTTCTCGGTAAGTTCTTCGATCTTGGCCATGGCATCCTGCTGCTCGCTGGCATGTGTCTCAGCCGTGCTCGCAGCTGTGTCCTGCAAGCGCTTGATTGTAGCATTGAGCTCGTCAACAGCGGCAACTGCATTGGAAGCATCGGAAGAGCGCCCTTCCTGCTCTGCCGACAGCTCAGCACGCAGCTGCTCCAGTTGGGACGTGAAATTGTCGGTGTCCTCCTTGCCTTTGGCCTCCAAGGAATCACCTCGTTCCACTGCCGCGACATGCTCTGTCTGCCACACGGATACCTTCTCGGTCAATTCTTCGATCTTGACCATAACATCCTGCTGCTCGCTTTCATGTGTCTCAGCTGTGCTCGCAGCTGTGTCCTGCAAGCGCTTGATTGTAGCAGTGAGCTCCTCAGCAGCGGCAACTGCATTGGAAGCATCGGAAGAGCGCCCTTCCTGCTCTGCCGAAAGCTCAGCACGCAGCTGCTCCAGTTGGGACGTGAAATTGTCGGTGTCCTCATTGCCTTTGGCCTCCAAGGAATCACCTCGTTCAACTGCCGCGGCATGCTCTGCCTGCCATGTGGATACCTTGTCTGTCAGTTCTTCGATCTTGGCCATGGCATCCTGCTGCTCGCTGGCATGTGTCTCAGCCGTGCTCGCAGCTGTGTCCTGCAAGCGCTTGATTGTAGCATTGAGCTCGTCAGCAGCGGCAACTGCATTGGAAGCATCGGAAGAACGCCCTTCCTGCTCTGCCGACAGCTCAGCACGCAGCTGCTCCAGCTGGGACGTGAAATTGTCGGTGTCCTCCTTGCCTTTGGCCTCCAAGGAATCACCTCGTTCAACTGCCGCGACATGCTCTGTCTGCCATACGGATACCTTCTCGGTCAGTTCTTCGATCTTGGCCATGGCATCCTGCTGCTCGCTGGCATGTGTCTCAGCCGTGCTCGCAGCTGCGTCCTGCAACTTCTGGATGGCCTCTTTTGCCATCGCCAGCTCCTGGCAAGGGCAAACATCTTCGGCCACGAGAAACACATTCATACGATAGTGCTCTGCCAGCGCAAACTGGGAAACCTGCCTTGAAAATGACTCGTTGCTCCCACGCCAAACCACCACCTCCCAACACCGCACCCAAAACGCAGCCCAAGACCTGAACCCATCAACCCGAAAACCCTGAGGCAAACCATGGCCCCGAAGACAAACCTTCCTAAGCCCCAAACCGGATACCCCTAAAACCTCATATGCTCTGCTAAACCCTAAACCCCTAACCCTAAAACACCGCATGCCCAGCCTTAAAGCTACAACTAGTAAAACCCCCAACCCCAGAGCAAGCAGACGAAAACAGGACTCAGAAATCTCCATCCCCGCCTTCAGTAGTAAATCCCTATCCCACAACCCTCATTGAAGCCGATAAACCTATACACCCTAAACCGGGAACCCTAACATTAATCCCTTAACCCGGAACCCTAAACATGACACCCTAAACCCGAACCCTAAACTTCACACCCTAATGCTAAACCTCAGGGGTCAAAGCCTGTTGCTCTGGACGGCTGCGCCCCTTCAGGGGTCAGAGCCTGTTGCTCTAGACGGCTGGGCCCCGTCAGGGGTCAATTTTTATCGCTGTTGACGGTTCAGGGGTCAAAGCCTGTTGCTCTTGAAGGCTGGGCCCCTGCAGGGGACAAAGCCTGTTGCTCTGGACGGCTGCGCCCCTTCAGGGGTCAAAGCCTGTTGCTCCTGAAGGCTTGGCCCCTTCAGGGGTCAAAGCCTGTTGCTCTTGAGGGCTGGGCCCTTTCAGGACTCAAAGCATGCAGCTCTTGACGGCTGGGCCCCCTTCAGGGGTCAAAGCCTGTTGCTCTTGAAGGTTGTGCCCCTTCTGGGTCAAAAGCCTGTTGCTCCTGCTCGTACTACTACTACTACTACTACTACTACTACTACTACTACTACTACTACTACTTACTACTACTACTACTACTACTACTACTACTACTACCAGTATTACTACTACTACTACTACTACTACTACTACTA